GTTTTCCCTCTCTCCCACCCTTCTGGCTCCTGGGTATCTTATATCCATAACCTTCTGTCTTTTCTCATTGTTACTGTCGAAATTCACTCAATCTATACCCCCTTATCTCTTGCCTGGACTATGGAAATTATGTCCCAGGAGCTCTCTCAGCCTGAACTCTCTCATCCCTATAATGATCCACACGTCTGCTTGAGGAGTTCTGCTATAGTACGGATCTGCTCTGACTCCTCTGCTTAAAAGCTCTGCATACACATGAAGGAGTAAGGACCAAGAACAAGGACACGTCTGAAGATGTGACTAATGCCACCAGGATTAGAACTTATCCTTTTGGCTAAGATCAAGTGTAGAACTTATTAGGAGGATCTATTTTTGTCATGGCACAGGCATAGACAAGTTGGCCAATGGAATAAGAGAGCCCAGAAACAAACCTGGGCAGAAAGGAAACTCTGGTGGCCAAGAAGGTGCCCAGCTGAGATGGCCCTGCAAGAGAAGCTGCTGCAAGGAGTGTAGTTGGTGGATGGCCTCCAGGTCTCCTCCGGGACAGAAGACAGCAACTTCATCCCCGCGCGGCATTCACGCAGGCGCCATCCTGCCATCTCCCAGGGCTTTTAGCCTGTCACTGAGATGGCGGAATTACTGGGGCTGGGCCATTTCTGCTCCACACGGAGTTTTTCTAAGGGGCACTCTTTGCCCTGGGGCACCTCGATGGCCTAGCCAAGACTTTGAGTCACACAATGTCTGAGGCAATTGCTAGCCAATCCTTCCTTCCTTCCTTCTCTCCTTTGACAAGTCTCCAACTTCTGCTGTGGGAGTCCTGGCCTACTCCAGTTCTCTCCCCCTTCCATCCTTCACAGGTTTCCCTTGGGGCATTTCTTGCACATCAAATCCCATTTTGGTGTCTTCTTAGAGGACCCAAACTGCACAATGACAGAGGGAGCATATCCCATCAACTGGGGGCAGGGGAGAGCTATTTAGTAATTGCAGTTAAAAAATAATGGTTGGGGGTGGGGGGGATGGGTGAGCTCAGTGATGGATATTAAGGAGGGCACCGACTGCATGGAGCACTGGGTGTTCTACATAAACAATGAATCATGGAACACTGCACCAAAAACGAATGATGTACTGTATGGTGACTAACATACATACAAAAAATGGTTATCTGGCCATCTGGGTGGCTCAGTCAGTTAAGAATCTGCCTTCTGCTCATGGAAATATTTGGAAAAATATTTGACATTATCTTTTAAAATTGAATATTCACGTATCCTGTGACCCAACAATTCTACTTTAGGTACAAACCCAAACAGACCAAAGAAAGTTACCTATGTAGTAGGAGATACACAAAAGTATGTTCATAGCAGCACCATTCATAATAGTAAAAACCCAGAAGTAATCCAAATATCCATCAATGAGAAATCAGACAAAGTGTGGTTTATTCACACACTGGAAATCACACAATAGTGAAAATGAATAAGATACATAAAATATGGCTGCATCTTAAATTAGGCGAGAAAAATTTCAAAAGGATACAGAAGCACATTTATTCCTTTATAAGAGACTTTATTATTATTATTTTTTTAAGATTTTACTAATTTAGGGGCGCCTGGGTGGCTCAGTGGGTTAAAGCCTCTGCCTTTGGCTCAGGTCATGATCCCAGGGTCCTGGGATAGAGCCCAGCACTGGGGCCTCTCTGCCTTCCTCTCTCTCTGCCTAATTGTGATCTCTGTCTGTCAAATAAATAAATAAAATCTAAAAAAAAAAAAAAAAAAGATTTTATTAATTTATTAGAGAGACAGAGAGAGCACAAGCAGGGGAGAGGGGCAGAGGGCAGGAGGAGAAGCAGACTCCCCGATGAGCAGGAAGCCTGACATGGGGCTCAATCCTAGCACCCTGGGATCATGACCTGAGCCAAAGGCAGATGCTTAACTGAAGGAGCCACCCAGGTGTCCCCAGGCTTTATTTTTTTAGAGCAGTTTTAGGTTTATGGAAAAACTGTGCCCAAAGTACAAAGTTCCAATACACCCTCTCCCCACCACAGCATACAGTTTCTGTAATATTACCATCTTGCATTTATGTGGTATGTTTGTTGCAAGTAACGAACCAATACTGATACATTACTATTTACTAAAGTCCCCACAGTTTACATCTTGGATTCACTCTTTGAGTTGCACAGTTCTGCGGGATCCACCAAACAGTAGCGGACAAAAGAGTTACACCGCAGTAAAAACGCTCTGTGCACCACCCATTCCTCTTCCTTCCTCTGCCCCTGACAACCATCTTTTTAGTCTCCACAATTACACCTTTTCCAGAATGGCACATAATTGGATCATACAGTATGTGGCCCTTTCAGACTGGCTTCTTTCACTTAGCAATATGCATTTAAGATTCTTCCATAGGCTTTTCTGGCTTGATAGCTCTTTTTTTTTTTTTCTTTCACTGGATAATATTCTATTGTCTGAGTATATCACAGTTTATCCATTCACTTATCGCAAGACATCTTAGTTGCTTCCAACTTTTTGCAATTATGAATAAACTGCTGTAAATATTCACGCACAGGTTTTTGTGTGGACTTAATTTTTCAACTTATTTGGGTAAATACCTAGGATGTAGGTTTAGCTTTGTAAAAAAAACCTGCCAAAATGTCTTCGAAGGTGGTTGTACCATTTTGCGCCCCCACCAGCAATGAATGAGTGCCTACTGCCCTGCATTCTTGCCAGCATTCGGTGCTGTCAGTGTTCGGGAGTTCAGCTATTCTTTTTTTTTTTTTTTTTTTTTTTGGAGTTTAGCTATTCTAATAGGTGTGTAGTGGCATATTCTTTTTCTTTTGGGGGGGCATACTCTTTTTTATTATATGTAAAACAACTGAAAATATGTTGTATACATACACAGTCTCTCTCTGTATATAGTTGTATTCCGTATAAATACATATATGGAATAAAAAATTATAAAAAGGAGAACAAGAAATAGTGAAGATTGGTGATTATTTTCACCCCATGAGAGGAGATCCAAGAGGATCACTTAGTGTGGGGGTGGGGGAGGCAAACCACACATTTGGTTGTAAATTGTTGTCACTATAACTTTTTTTTTTAGGGTGGAGAGTTCACAGCTATTATTACACTAAAAGAAATTAAATTAATAAAGGTGGGTTGTGTGTGGTTGGCTGGAAAGTGGCCTAGCAAAGTTGCCTAAATCCTAATCCTCAGAATCAGTAAATGTGTTTCAGCGGGGGAAAACGGACTTTGCTGATGTGATTAAAGGTGTTGAGTTAGAGAGATTATCCTGGGCCCAGTGTAATCACAAAGGGTCCTCGCAGGTGAGAGAAGGAGGCAGGAAGATCAGTCGGAAAGAGGTGTCAGGATAGAAACACAGGTCAGAGAGGAAAGAAGTTGCTATGCTGTTTCTGAAGACGCTGGGTAAGGCCAAAAAATAAGGAATGCTGGCAGCCTCTAAAAGCTGGAAAAGGCAAGAAACCCATTCCTTCCCTAGACTTCAGGAAGAACCAGCCCTGCCAATACCTTGATGTTAGACTCGTGAAACCGATCTTGGACGTCTGACCTCCAGAATTCTAAGATAATAAATTCCCATTATTTCGAGGCTCTAAGTTTGTCACAGCAGTAATGGGAAACTAACACAACGGGCCCGGCATGGATCAGGGATTAGGTGGATTACGATAAATCCAGTTCTACACCTCGGTCCAATAAAAGCAAAAAACCCCAGTCTTGAATGACTCCTCACTGCTTCAAAGCCAAAGCTCAGCTCCTCAGCCTGATACAAATCCTTCACAACACAATTCTTTAAGCCCACCTCTCTCAGCTCTCAAGACCCCTACACCATGCCTCCCCCTCTTCTCCCTCCCCAAATAACTATATACTTTAACCCTGGATCGTGGTCTCTGGGCGCTTTGCTATTCCCACTGACTCAAGTTAGGAGTTCAACTTCCTTGCCATGGAGTCTATGAAGCTTTCCAGGTTCAAATCCCCCTCAACCTCAGTAAATGTTGGCAAAACCAACTCTTAAGGCGCTGTTTAACTGGGACCTTTAAGGTTGGGCAACAAAATATTTGTCGACCAAAATGATGCCAATTTGTAAATTAAAATGTTACCTAGTGAGGAAAAAAAAAAGGTTTGGCAACAAGCTGAGAAATATTTATCACGTTTCACTAGGAACGGGTACCAATTCAGTAACATTCTCCTAAAGGTGGTGGGGAGAGGGGACGTAAGCACACCGTGAACGGTTGTGGGAAAACAAAAACAAAAACATTCTACGGGGGCGCCTGGGTGGCTCAGTGGGTTAAAGCCTCTGCCTTAGGCTCAGGTCACGATCCCAGCATCCTGGGATCGAGCCCCGCATCGGGCTCTCTGCTCAGCAGGGAGCCTGCTTCCCCCTCTCTCTCTGCCTGCCTCTCTGCCTACTTGTGATCTCTCTCTCCGTGTCAAATAAATTAAATCTTTAAAAAACAAAAAAACATTCTACAGGCCTACAGCAGTTTGAAAACAGCTCCCTCCTCTCAAGGAAGACTTCATTTCCCGTCTACATGATGGGTATCTGCAAACACAACCTTAAGTCTGTGCACGTCTCTGCCCAAAGATTTTTTTTTTCCACTCCAAGAATTAAGTAAGGGGTTTGAGGGCATTATCACTGCACCTTACACGGACTCGATGAGTCATTTTAACGCATAAGTAGAGCGCTCTACTTACCACCTTATCCGACGAGATGACGGATGAGGGAACCTTTGAAACTTATAAAGCAATCTACAAACAGCCTGCCTAGGCCAGGAATACCTACTGCGGGAAAACACGCCCAAAAGACACGTCCGGACCTTAGGAAGCCCGAGGGGACCCAGAGAGCGCAGTTCCCAGCTCAGCCCGACCCGACGTCCACCACAGCCCCTCCAGCACGTCGCGCGGGTCGGCGGTTGATGACCACGGGTCGGCTGTTTTGATGAACAGAGAACGGCTAGAAAGGCCGGCAGACTCGGACACCACGCGGAGCCAAAGCACGGATCCAGACGCAGTTAAAGAAACCGCTCTCAGGCTGGACGAAGGCGGAGCCGTAGCACAAGCTGCTCCCACTGAAGAGCCCTAAAATGCTCGGAGCAGGGCTAGGACAGCCCCCAGCGCGAGGCACTCTGGGACTTGTAGTTTACTTCCCGGCAAGCGTTTTTCCCATTCCCGTCTCACCGCCTTAACGTCGCTTTTATTGTCTCCCTCTTCTTCTAGCACGCCGACTTCCTGGTCGCCACACGTCCTCACGTATGACTACACTACCCAGAAGTCTCTTCTTCGCGACCCAGCGCGCCGCGGGCACCGGCCGTCTCCTCTGGACTACAGTTCCCAGAAATCCTCTGGAGAAGTGTTTGCCTCTCTCATTTCCAGGACCACAATTCCCAGAACCTTCAGCTGCACGGCGGTTCCCTTTTCACTCGATCTCTTCATGAGCTGGCTGGGCTTCAGCCGGCAAGCAGGCACTCAGCGACGACGTGATTCGTCGGGACTGGGCACAGGGTTTCCTTAGCAGCCTGTTTTTCCCCCCACTCAGTTATTCCCTTTACAGGCCGTCGCGGCTGGCCTGAGCGGTGACCTGGCGGGCCGCGCCTGCGCTCTGCCCCGTTTCCTGCCTGGCTGGTGGCGGTGGCCATTTTGTTCATCCTCCTCCTCCTCCTGCTCCTCCTGGTTGGAGCGCAGTGTCCGGAGCGGGCTGGGGGGAGAGAGCCCGAGAGCAGGGTTCGGTGGCTTTTCCTCTGTCCCCAGCCAGTGCCCGGAGCCCCCCTCCCCTTCCTCCCCACCCCCTCCCCTCCCCAGCCCTGCCCTCCCCCTTGTCCCGGGATCGCTCCGTCGCACCCACCATGATGGAAGACGACGGGCAGCCCCGGACTCTGTGAGTACCCGAGACGGGGGTTGCCAGGCGCCGAGAGGCCCGGGCACCGCGGGACGCTGAGGGAGGGAGCAGGAGAGTGGGGCTGAAGCTGGGACTTACGGCGGCTCCCTGGCCGGGGTGGCGCGGACGCGAAGTGCATTCCTCTTCTGTCCCCTTTTCCTTGGGAAGGAAGCCCTCCCTTCCCCCAGTCACTTCCTGGGGTCTGGGGTTTGTTTCGACCTTTTCCTCTCGCGCCCTTCTTTGCACACCTCTCCTAGGCCGGGTTTCTGCACGGCTGTGGCTGTCAGGCCCGGGAGAGCTCCTGCTCCCCATCTGCTGTGGGGGCCCTGGACTGGGCCGGGAGCTGCCGGTCCCCACGGGGGCAGGGCCTGGGTGGGGGTGGGACCGGGGGTGGGACCGCAGCCTCGTGCCCCGCGGGCCCCGAGGAATTAGCGCTCTCGCCCTGCACGTCCCCAGCTCCATCGCTCCCGGGTCTTCTCCCAAGCTAAGCTCTCCGAGGAAACTGGACACTCTGACTCCACTCAACCCCCTTCTCTCTTTCTGCCCCACGTGCCCCCGCCCACGCTGTCAGAGATACTCGCCAAGCGCCCGCTACTTTTGAAGTGCAAAAGGGATGCCTCTTGACGCGGGAGCATCTTTCCCTTCTTGGAAGTTTACTTTGAGCACTACCTACGCTAAACTGACAACCAGTTGTTAAACTGCTTTTGCTCTTTTGGTGTTACGTCCTCCTAATCTGTTTGCGCTTTGAGACCTTCAGAATTGGATCAAGTGATGTCTAGCCACTATTCGATGTGTATCTTCTGAGCGCCTTTTCTTTTATCTTGCTGTTTTTTTGTTTTGTTTTGTTTTTACCTGAAGCCTGATCTAATGAATGAATTTCATCTTCCAACCGCTTATTCGAGTTTTCCTTTCTTTCCTAATGAAGAGTGATGACTCAGCATTTGCATTCCTTTCCGGATAGTGTGGCACTCCTTTCTTTTTCCTGCATTTAAAAAAAAAAAAAAAATCGGAGTAATTGCTAATCAAATGTTGGCTACCTTCGGTTTTCCTAGCCTCTGGAAGCTCAGCACACCTACCTCGAGTACCAGGAGTCAGATCGCTGCTTTGTTTTCTCTTGCCTCTCTGCCTGGTATTGATATGATCATAGTCCACTTGGCTCTGCTCTCTGTTGGGGAAATTACTTTGGGGGAATAGATGAAGGTGGGTGGGTACTCAGGAAGTTTGACTAGATTCTCGTCTTTTCTGCCAAAGAAAAGTCCATTGGGTAAAGAAGATATATACCTATTTACAGTGGTTTGGTTTTTTTGTTTCATTTTGGGGAGGGCTTGGGGTGGGCTTGCACTCTTTTATTCCTATTTTTCTGTCTCAACTAATGTAATTGCCATCCTGTTTTGAGAATTTGAGGCCAATTTAAGCACATCAAGTGCTTCAGCGAAAAGTCTTTTCCGGAGAACATTTATGTTTTTATTTTGTGCTGTCTCCCATTGCTTACTTTTTTCCCCAGAAAAGAGAGAATTGGGATAATTTGAAATTTGCCCTTTAAGATCTGTTGAAGCCAAGGCTGGGTAGTTATCCATGTGTGCTTCGATGGAAGCATCTGGGAAGGTTGAATTTAGTGCTAGCTAGTGTATATTGAACAAAGAATAGTTACATTGTATCTAAACACCTGAAATGTCATCATTGCATCATAATAGCTACTGAATAATTGGTAAATTCTCATGGTACCTTTCTCATTAACTGTATCTGTCTGTTCCTTAAGAAGAGAAATTCCTGGTTTTGTCGGGCTAAATAATATGCCATTTCACTACCTTTAATTCCTATAACTATCTTTGCATTTGCCTTATCTTCATCTCCATCAGATCGTGGACCCTTCTTAAGTAGACTAATGAGCTAACTTTGTCGCTTATTTCTTAACCTCTACTTTCTCCAATCTCCTGTTCTTTCTCTGAAACACACTTAAGTCGTCTACGATTACAGTTGTCTAAGATTATGTGACGTGCGTATATGTGAGTAAAGAAACATCTTGAGCTTAGTTGTACCTGTATGTCAGTACATTTTTACTATTCTGTCTTCCTTTTTCCTTCTCCCGCTCTTCTCTATGGGAAGGGTTTTTTTTTAGACAAGGACTGCTACATCTTCCTAGGTCTTAACCCTGCAGCACTTAGTTCACTGCCTGGAACACAAGAGGTACTCAAATATTTTAAATGATTATACTTCTTTTCATTGAATTTATATTAAGTTTGTTTTTTTTTAAAGTCCTGATTAATGTAAAATTATGAACTGACATGACCGTGTCATACATGGTGTGGTCTGTTGATTTGTACATATATATTTTTAAAACCTTCAAATGTGGAATTTTGAGATAAAAGCAAATGTTTCAGAATTGGGATTTCTTGGTCAGATTTTAATAAAAATAATGCACAGTATAGTTTTTTCTAAGCTTTCATTTTACCTAATTCCCCTCAAAGGGTTCTCTTAGGTGTAAGTAACATGACTAAAACTTTGAACGTGAACTTTAGAGGTTGACATCTAGTAGGGTTTTATTTTGTTGGTTTATGGAGATCCTTTTATTTTACATTGTGATCTGTGGGTTAGGTTTTCACGTGGCCAGTATGTTTTAAAAGAATGTACTCTTAACAAAGCTTATCTTAAACTGTTTCCTTAAAATGCCTGTGTGTTACTAGTGAGGTTTTTTTCCTGCAGACACACACAAGCTAAGACATATGGTTCTATCATCAGAAAACAATATGGTGTTTATAGCCTAGGTAGGTCTTTAAATATTCATTACCTACAGTGTTACTAATTTATTTGATGGTATTTAAAGTGGTATAGAATTGCTTTGATGTTGAGCCTAAAGTTTATTTATCCTTTAAAGGTCTGTTTTCTGATGTTCTTTGTTCTTATTTGACATTTATTTTGGGGTAATATGTATTCGATAACCTGTGATCTAAAAAAAAAAAAAACGAGATCATGCTGTGTAATCTGGTGTTGGAAGTAAACTGCCTGACACCGACCTTGTGGGACTCACATTTCGGACTTGTGGGTGGCTTTTGAGTGCACAGATTTGATGCATGGTATATCTGAATCTATAACACAACATTAAATTACAGTGGTGTTCTATTGTAGTTTAATTAACTTCATTTATCTGATGCCTCAAAATGAGTAGGAATTGTGGATCTGGGATTACACCATGGTATGCAGTGCCATCCTTTAAGGCTGTTCTTTCTTTCTGATAGAGGCTGTCAAAAGGAAGAAATAAAGCTGTGATTTAGAATATAATCTGAACATCTGAGGGCAGTAACAGAAGAAACTATTAGATCCTGTTATAAAATTGATGAGCTATATGATGGATTTTGCTGTATTATGGCTGTAATTAAGCACCTTGGCCAACTTAATCATATTCTGTTTCTTTAAAATGTGTGTGTGTGTCGATATCCCTTATGTAGGTGGTCAGTTCACTTGTACTCACCCTGTACCTTTCCTCCACCTTGCCTCCTTCCTAAAATGAAATACTGACAAATTGATCAGTTCATTAGAGGCCCATTGAAGGATATTGTTAACAAAATCTCTTCTGACATAGGAACTTGTCAAGAACAAAAGCAAAAATGTTACTTTCATGGAAATTTAGCTATAGTGTCTTGTGTAAAAGTGCATGAATTAATTTCAACCTTGATAGGGCTACTCTTTTCAGAGTGAGAGCACATTCGGTGTTGAAAAAGCTTAGTTAGCCTTCTGAAAGGCATGATGTTCTTAACTTAAAATTCTGCCCAGTTGGACATAGGAAGTAGTTTGGCAATGTGAACTTTTGCCTACTGTGAAACTGCCAAGTTTCTAGTCTCAAATTGGATTTTAACCCTTACGTTAGGGATAAAAGCATGATTTTCCATTTTTAATGCTTTAGTTCCTACAGTTCCTGTTCATAGAAGACAAAATAGACCTAAGGTATGCCTTTTTTTTTTCCTCGAGTAAAAAATTGTTTTAGAATTTAAGTGTTTCTCTTTGAATTGATCTTTTAATATAAGAATTTGAGCCATTTGTCTTTTTCTATTATTTTGTATGTTCTTCAAGTACAAATTTTATACTTAAATACTTGGAATTTTAGAATATATTGACTGCTTCACAAGAGAAAGAGTGAAGTGTGGAAACTATAATTTAGAAAGAGAAAATACACTTCAGTGTACTGCCAAGAGATGATATTCTTTCCAGGTCAGGTGTTGAACGTCTGCCTTAAATATTTTTGTTAGTATTTATTTTGGGACATAATTTTATGGTAATGTAAGGTACTTAAGCTGTGTCATACAGTATTTTAAAAGCTATAAGGAGTTTCTCTGTTGAATATTATGGAGGATGAAGGTATATGCAAATGAATCAATTACAGAACTTGAGTAAAGGAAAAGGCAGTCAGATTTGGGTAAAATTTAGGTGAAATTATATGGTGAATTACATCCCTTTTAGTCTGGTAAATTAAGATATTCTGCGTGTTGTTATGGAAGACCTTTTTTATATTAGTTTTGGAATTTAGTTTGCTGCTTTACCACTGAACTTTTAGAGGAGATATTTAAAAAATAGGAAACTTTAACCTGGATTTTTGTATTTCATGACATTCTAAACTTAGATTATCATTTTGCTCTTTGGCATCGGTGCTTGAAGTGTAAATTAGTATATCGAAACATGCCTGTAGAAATTCTTCAAAATTTGTAGCTTACTGTGAAAAGATTGACTTGAAATAAAAATCCTATTAAACTGTAAGACCTTTAATTGTGCCTGTTAGGTGTGGAAAGTAACTAATGCCCATGCAACTTTTTTCTGAACAAATCAATATTTAAGCAGTAATGCAAATTTAAAACTATTTAGTTTACTTAAATTTCATTATATAAAAGTGGTGATCTATTTTAACTTTGTTTTTAGTGACAATATGTGAAAATCAGCTTTATCCATTCCTCTTTTTTTCTCTTAGAAATGAACTAACTAGCACTTGAGGCTAAATGAATATAACATTTAGGAGACCAAGGTTACTTATTCATTTACTTTATAGATAGTTCTACCTTGTACAAAAAGAAATTATTCCCTGGATACAGGCTCACAAATCCCTCTGAGTTAAAAAGGGACAGGCAGTTGTCTGGCGAGCTTATGATCCTATAACCTTTTGCTACTGCTGGAAAAAGTGTGTCATTCCATGGCCTACCAATGGGTCTGCTCTACTTTAATTATAAGAAAAAGATCGCATAGTAGACCTAAAGCTGTTTGTCACTGGTTTAGTGGTTAAGTAACATCGGACTTGTGGTTCAATTTTAGTACAATGTAGATATTAGTACCCATTGTAGTGAAATTCTTACCTGACTGGGAAATTGCTACTCATTATTAATCAGATAATTTTTTTTACACTTTACCTTTCTTGCTTTATTTTTCCCTTTCAGAATGTTCTAGCTTAAAGCAGTTATGTATTTAATATGTAACCATAGATGCAAGGCTTATTTTGGTCTCAGTACTCAGTTTCCAGATGTTATATATTATCATTAGGAAAATAAAACAAATCTTTTTAATTTCCAGGAGAAGCTATGTTAAATTTTATAAATATTGTTTGGGTCATTAGGTTATTCACAACAAATGTGAGTTTTAGGATTTATACACCAAGTACCAGAAAGACTTAAAAGTTCGGCAATTTATTAAGCTAAATTAATATTAAATCCATGTGACAAGAGAAACCAGGTGGTCATTTCTGGGTGATGGTGGTATTTTTTTCTGAGTTTATCTGTATTCTGAATTTCTTAATACAGGATACGTATATTCAATATGTAATTAAAAAAAAAAAAAATCCCAGATCTTTAAATAGGCATAGTGAAAAGTATACCTACATGTCTTAAATTTCCTCTGAATTTCTGAAGAAATCTTTATATTTGCTTTTTTATTTATATAACGATGTATTTTGTTGCTCTCATATATTTTAGACTAGGAAATTTTATCATTTTGCCCTGCTTTCCTAAAACAAAACAATGAAGATATGTCATCGATAAATCTTGTTTAGCAAAACAAAACCTTCTAATCTCTGTGTTTTGCTAACTTTACTCTAATTCTGGTCTTTGTTCACGTAATTGTTTTTATTGGGGGTCTAAGATAAACTCACCTTATGTCTAATGCTTCTTTATTGATCAGGTGTTATAATTAATCAGTATTTTTGGTGCTATTTGTGTGTGTGTGTGTGTGTGTGTGTGTGTGAGAGAGAGAGAGAGAGAGAGACGTACACACATTATTTTGAATTGTGTTTTACATCCAGAAATTGTAGTTATGTGGAGACTGGTTTAAATTTTTTTATTATTTTTATTCTAATAAATAAGATGAGAGTGATATGTAGGATATAGAATAATAATGCTTCTGGGGTGTGCAAGGTCACATTGATTTCTTTAGAAAATGTTTGAAGTGATACTTTAGTGGCCTAATTTAGTACCTTAGAACACTTGGGCTGCTTTCCTAAATGAGGGTTAATCTTACTTGCATTGGACTAGACTTAATTGGAAAAAATTTTATTGAAGACAGAGGAAGTTAAAATGAAATAAAAGGTATTAAGTGATAATGCATTAGAGCCAGAGCTGAAGGGAAATTGCTGATAATGTATTCCTTTTTTCCTTGAACAGATACGTAGGTAACCTCTCCAGAGATGTGACAGAAGTCCTTATCCTTCAGTTATTCAGTCAGATCGGACCCTGTAAAAGCTGTAAAATGATAACAGAGGTAAGATCTCCCAGTTCCATGTGCTGACAGCGTGATGTTTAACGTTGTGACATCCATGAGTTGATGAGTATCATTTTAAAATACCATTTTAAGCCTCAAGTTATTCTGATGGAGAGGCTCATGTTTGTTGTGTTGACTTACTGCTTCGATCTGGCAGATAAACGAGGTTTAGGATGGAGTTTTATTTGAAAGAACAAAGTTTGTGTGCCGTTACTCTCATATGGTCATTCTTTAGGGTATCGTTATGTTCAAGTGATTCTGCTTGTAAAAAATTGTTAGCACTTATCTTAGAGAGCTGAGAAGCTAGATAATGTTTCGTACAATTCCCATAAGAATGTTCCTGATTCAGGTGATACACATTTAAAGTTTCGGAAGCGGTGTAGTAAAAGAACGGCAGGTTCTTAGGTGCACAGTGTAGCGCCGTGCCCCTCGCGTACCTCTAGTGAGTACTAATGACAGCAGCTTTACACAGACTGTTAGGGCGATCATTTTATTTTCCTTTTTGCAAAGAAAACTTCCTTTTTATACTTTCCTGGTTAAGACTGCGTCACAGTGCCCAAAGACATGTTTCAGTTTGTTCTCTTCTCTCTCTTGATTCTCCCGCACACTTCTTAGACTGTTTACTGTCTACCAGCCGTTCCGGTAAGTGCTAGAGATTTGCTGCCGAATAAGACAGTTCTTAGCACTGTACAATTTTACAACCTGATGAAGGAGACAGAGGAGTTACCAGGCACTAATGACAGGATGAGAAATGCCGTGGAAGCAGGCAGCACCAAGTGCTGTGGGAGCACTGGGGTCCAGTACCGTCTTGGGTCCGGGAGGCTTTATTGGAGGAGTGAGTGTCTAGGCCGAAACTGAAGGATAACCGTGGAATCTGAGGAAGAAGGGATTCCGTGGGAGAGAAGAATGTTGGTCCAGTCTGGTGCTCATGAGAGTAAGTGGGAAGGTAGAGACCGTAGCGTGGTTGGTGTTCTGAATGGGTTAGTCATAAAAGGTGCCAGGAGGTGAGGCAAGAGTGTTCGGCAGGGGCCGGAAGCTATGCTAAGGAGTTCGTGTTATACCCTGGGAGGGGAACTATGAAAAACCCATAAAGCAAATTGGCCTTTTGATTGTCTTTCCTAACTAATAATCGTCCTTATTCTGTTCCAGTACCTCTTCTTTCCTTCCTGTCTTTGATTACTCATTCATTCGTTCTTTCATTCATCAAAAATTTACTTTGTGCTCAGAGCTCTGGGGATATAGTGGAGAGCAAAAGGGAGGAGACTCCCATGAGTTTTACATACTATTGAGAATATTGTTAACAAACAAGTGAACAAGGTAATTGCAGATAGGGAAAAGAGCTGTGGAGAGAATAAAGCAGTTCTGTGATGGGGGGTTGGAGGGTTGGTGTTTATGTAGGCTAGGTGGTGAAGGAAGACGTCACCTCTTTGATCTGAGACAGGAATAACAAGATGGTGCCATCTATGTTAAGAGTTGGAGGCAGAGGGAATGGCAGATACAAAGGTTGTGAATTGGTAATGAGCTTGGTGAATTCACGGAACCAAAGAGCAGGATGGCTGGAGCCTGGGGAGTGGAGGGAAGTGGTGGAAAATGAGTGTAAAGAGGCAGGCAGGCAGAGTTCAGAATCACCTAGGGAAGTGTGGGCCATGACACAGAGATTGGATTTTATTTTGTTTGTGGTGGAGTTTTAAGTGGAGTAATGAGGCACTCATTTGCATTTTTAAGATTATTTGGAGACTGTCATGGAGAATGGGTTGAAGGGGGCAGGAGTGGAAGGAGGGAAAGCAGTTGGGTTTAATTTACTAGTCTAGGTAAGAGATGATGGGGGCTTGTTTTTTAGATTGGTAGGTGTAGAGATAGATAAGTTTGAAATATAATTTAGAGGTGGAATCAGTAGGACTGGATTGGCTGGAGGCCGTAAGGGAAAGGAGGACATTAGGAAAGACATCTTGAAAGAGTCTTGTTTGTAGTTGTGTAGATGCTGATACTACTTACTTGCTCAAATGGGCATGACCAAGGGAGGTGTAGGCTGGATGGGGAGAATGGTGGGAATCAGGAGTTCTGTTTTGGCAATGTTAAACTGAAGGTGTCCATTAGACATCTGAAGGAACATTATATGTGAGTAGTTGGATAAACTGAGAGACAGTGGTGATGATACCAGCTTGCGGTGGTATTTAAATTATGAGACTAGATAAGATCTAGTTCCTTGATCTAAAGAGATTGCTGATAGAAATAGGGTGGTCTGGGTCTAAGCCCTGGAGCATTTCAACACTTAGGGTGATGTTTAGAGTTTGAATAAAGGGGGAAGAGCTGCCTTCTGGAAGATCCTCCAGTGAGAAAACCAGAAAACGAAGAGGTTGTGTGGAATCTAAAATGGAATATTTAAAGGAGGAGGAGTCATTAGCTGTTTTGAATTCTGCTTCAGAGTCAAGGTGAGGACAGAAAAAGGATCACAGGGGTGGCAGAGAGGTCACTGGTGAGCTCAACACAAATTTTCAGTGGCCCGGTTGGGTAGGAAGCCAGCCGGAGTAGGTTTAGGAGAGAATGGGATGTGAGAAAGTGGAAGGAGTTCTCTAGAAAGTTTTTGAGAAACATTTGATAAATATTTATTTTAATAGTATTCTTTTTAAAACTTGTGTGCACAATCAGCCATTTGTGGGGAGAAGGATTTGAAATGAATTAATTCATCCATATTCTACAACTCCTACATTCAAACTTGTATATAGCTGCAAAATCTCATATTTCTCTGTCTTGACATTTATGTCATCCAACAAAAATTGGTGACAGTACTTATTAAGGTAAGGACATGGTTGCTTTTTAGAGTGTCCCTTGGCATAAATGGGAAGCTTCCCAAGAGCGTGAACTCTAGTACAAACTATCTAGGTGTTTATTTTCTTTTCCATAAATTCCACTTCAGTACATGAAAAATGCTTTTTTTCCTTAGCTTTGTGATTTTTTATTTTAAATACTGTTTATCTTAGATTCTAGCTTTCTCTGTATACTATTATGTTATCAGTTTTTAGGCTAAAAAATTCTCTGGCAGTTGGGTTGGGACAAAAATCAGTGGTGTCTTAAATGAGATGCAGTGTAATGTGAATGTGTGTGTGTGTGTGTGTGTGTGTGTGTGTGTGTGTGTGTACATTCACATGTTCATACATTGAATGGGGTTAGCCTGTTACTGTTAGGTAAACTTGGAGTCATTCTGCATGAGTTAGAGTAGTTTACTAAAGCCTTTTGTTACTATGGATCTACATTGGATCTCTGCATGTCTTGATTTAATTACCATTGTGTTCTGTAGAGACCATCAGGGCAGAAAAGATAGATGTAAAATGAAAAATTGACTAGCATAGTTTAGGTTGCTGTTTACCTTTAAATCCTTTCTACAAATGAACGTTATTGGTAAATGTTAACTCTTTAACAAGAGGAATTTAAGTGCATGTTTTTCTTTGGACTCTTTTCTCCATTTCCTTTCTCTACCTCTTAAGAACAGAATTCACATGGCTACAGTAGGATTTTTGTATGAGAGCCCATAGTTTTCTTGTCAGTATTAATGATCACACTTTTTTTCCCTCAAGGAAATGCCTTCTGGTTGCTTCGCCACTATTGTTTTAGACGTCTTAGTTTGGATTTTTCTTCTAAAACTTTCCTGGAATGAAAAACAGTGGTTGTTGAAAAGATCTTTATTTTATCTGGTATTTTGTACCCCTTGTAAGTGCAACTAGAATTCCACATTTTAAAATAGTTTTTTTGTTTTGTTTTGTTTTAGGGCATTTTACACTGAACAGTGATGTGTTTAGCCTTATGCAAAAAAAAATGTATTTGTATGGTTGTGTAGCTATTTGATACAGGTTGCAGTTATATAAAATTTATTTCCATTTTGGTTGTTAGATTATAAAGTTGCTATAACTTCGGTCGTACTTTCTAATTGTCTTTATAAATGTCTATTTGCCAAGTCCTGTCAAGTGTAATATTGTTAGAATATATTTAATAAAGATTTCTTATATTTTTTTGTGACATAAAATTGTAGCATTATCTGGGAATATTTATTCAGAAGTTCTTTTCTTGATTACTAGCATATTTTTCTGGTCTTTGAAGACTAAATTCAAAGTATATAGCATCTCCTGTTCGTTAGGATAGTTTGATGGTTCATTTCAGTAGCTGGTTAAACATTTAAAATTTTTCTGTTTTTATTCTCATTCTTTATCCAGAAAAGGAATACGTAATCTCATCTCCTCCTATGCAGTACTCACCCTAGTTTCAATCATAAGTAGAGTTTGTAAACTTGGTTCATTTCTGTGTTTTCTTTTATCATGGGATATAGTTTATGAAGGATTATGAGGCGTAAATAGAATTCATCCTTTTGAAAATAATGTTGGGAGAGAGAAGAGCAGTGGTAAGGAGTGGTCCTTAAGGTTTTGTTTGGCCTAATATAAACTTCTGTTTTACATTTAACATATTTCACCAGAATTCCCTTTTTTTTTTTTTTTTTTTTTTTTTTGCTTTAATACTGATAGTCATGATTCTATACTGCTTTGATGGTTCTGCTTGAGTACAACAGTATTCTGAGGTGCAAAGTCAGGTGTAGCTGTAAATCTTATTTTTATAAGTGTTAGGCTTTCATAAGCTTATGCAATCTCACCTTGTACATTCCTAGCTGTCAGTAATGTTTTTTCCTGGATTTTCTTCTCAGCAACCCGATAGCAGAAGGGTCAACTCTTCTGTTGGATTTTCTGTTTTGCAGCATACAAGCAATGACCCATATTGCTTTGTGGAATTTTATGAACACAGAGATGCAGCTGCTGCATTAGCTGCTATGAATGGGAGAAAAATTTTGGGAAAGGTAAGATAATAGAATGATGGCACTTCATGAGTATATATTTTTGCATGTCAGATTAGCTTGTGTGTGCGTGTGTGTGTGTGTTTTAGCTTGTGTTCTTTTTAGCAAGTTTTTAAACAAATATTCAGCTGTGCCGAGTGGTGGTTTTGCTTTTATTCAGCCTAGTGTTTTTACAAAAATTATCCTGTTTGATAAATGATGTAATAAGTGGTAAGTGTTATGGTTCATAATGACATGCCTAATAATTGTATTAAATATAATCTTTATTTTTAGGAGGTCAAAGTAAACTGGGCAACAACACCAAGTAGCCAGAAAAAAGATACTTCCAGTAAGTACTCCTGCTGCATTTTACTGTGGAAGAGTTCTGAAATTATCCTGGCAGCGCTACCAGCTTAAATAGGGTTTTTCTTCCCTTAGTGTTGCCTGAAAAAGGCTTATTAAGTAGCTGGCTCTTTAAGTATTTGATTACCAAATGCTTTGATTTCAGATCACTTCCATGTGTTTGTTGGGGATTTGAGTCCAGAAATTACAACAGAAGATATCAAATCAGCATTTGCCCCCTTTGGTAAAATATCGTAAGTATCATACTCAATACTATACTCAGTAGTGATAGGCAAAATTGTATATGATTAACATGTACTGGAATTAAGATTTTCTTTCCCTAGTTAGTGTGATTTTTTTGTTTGTTGTTTTGTTTTGTTTTTTTTGATTAGTAGATGTTGTTGAAAATGTTAATGTCATTTCAATGTTCTGGGGTCTTGTTTTCATCTAATCCTGTGTATGATATGTTAAAATTTTTTAAGTGATTCTGTTTGTTATCTTTGAAGCAGATGTTTGGGTGGTAAAGCCTATTATAAAGTCCAACTTTCTGTCAGATGTTTTCAAAATTTGGTGGTTAACTAAAAGTGAATGTGATGTATACTGTGTATTAAATTTTATAGGAAGAGTTTATAAATTGGGAAAAGTAGGTAAATCCTTGGGTATATGGTGGTTAAATTGGAAATGTACATGTTTAATTATAATGATAAATGTGTTTTGATATTTTAGCTGAAAGTAGTCTATTATAATACTAAAATGTTTTGTTGTCTGAGCCATAAATGTGGGATTAATTAGTAGATGTTTTTTTGTTATTGGTATTTGATTCTGGTAGTTAGGGCCCAAATGTGGTTTGATTTTAACAAAGCTTATGCTCAAATCTCATTGTATGTTATGTAATCAAATATATTGGAAAATTGAAAGTGGTTTTATAAGTTCTATAAAATATCTGTTACAATGTATCTTTCTGACTAAAATCCGTATATTTTATGTACTTCCTGTAGATTTAAATGAAACGTTGTAGTACTACTTAAAGGAGTATGTTTCACCTACGAACAACAATATTCTTCTGTATACAGTTTGTTGTTCTGTAGATTTATTTGAAAGAAAGATTTAATTCTTAATTTTCTATTTTGATATTTGCTTTGCTTTTTAATCTTTAAATGTGGTAAGTAGTACTGTTTTAAAAATCAGTATAAAAAATAATACAGGTTGCTGTTTTTCAATCTTTATTTATACCTGAGACCTGCAGTTTTTCTAAAGTCCAAGTCACAATTAAAAGTAATAGCATTCTGGTTATTTTGCAGAATTGCTCATAAGAATGGACAGGATCTTGAAGGCTAACTGCAAGGAACTGTGCACACTGGAACTCAGTTGTAGATTTTTTTCTCATTTCTATTTATTCTTATTATACATTATTTATATATACATATTTTAGTATTTACATTTTAACATTCTATATTCAGTGGAGTTCTATATTTCCAATCATCTTAACTTACTCACTAAAATTTCTGTGTAAATTTGTTGTTTTCGTACTGGTGTGCTTAGCATTGTTGTTAGTTTTTTATTCTCCTTTCTTAAATTTCTGAAAATGTCAATTTTTCAAAATTTACAGCTGCCCAAACTCCAAAATGATGGTAGAGAATTGACCAAGAAAAATAAAGAAATCTGTTAACAGGCCATGTATGCCTTTTTAATTCCTATTTTTACCTCTTTTTCAATTTTTTAATATTTCATATATTTTGTATCACTAGGCAGAAGACATTTAACTATTTAGAGATTGCATGGTAAAGTAGTTAGCATTGTTACAGTAATTTATAGACCAGTAAACCTTAGAGGACACTAGCCAATAGAATATTAGAAAAGGAAACTATTGTTCCTATTAATCTTCAAATTTGAGCATTTAGTTTAGAAAGTGCAGGCTATTTGATTAGGTTGCATGTTTATTACATGTTTTTGTCCTACTGCTTTTTTCTAACAGGTAAAGAAGCGTTAGGGAGAGTTCAGGAATGGCAGTAGTTAATTAGGGCTAACTGGAATTTTATTTAAAAAAATGCTCACAATACAGTGTGTGTGGTTCCTTTTAGTTTTTATTTTGAGGATGACTCTTACTTCCCTCATTTAGCTGTGCTTCTTTTCACAGGGATGCCCGAGTAGTTAAAGACATGGCAACTGGAAAATCCAAAGGCTATGGTTTTGTATCTTTTTATAACAAACTGGTATGTTCTTTCAACTCAATATAAATTTAATCCAAAATTTAGTCGTTAATCGGAATCTTGAATATTCTTAGATATTGCCTGTAACACCTTTTAGGTAATTTTGTGTGTTTTAATAGTAGAGTGTAATTGTTTTCTTGGAAATAAATAGCTGGAAAAAGGCTGGTTATAAGAAAGTGTATCACGGTTGCATTTATGCATTGGTGAAGATAAGATGTGTTGGAAGTCAAACTCAAGATTAGGACATATGAACTCATCTCAGAATTTGGAGGGAAGTTAAATAATATTTAGCCTGAACCATGAAAATCTCAGTTTTAACTTTTAAATGATCATCCATACTTAGGATATTAATGACTACAGCAAAGTATATAAACGAAAATTAAAACAATTCATCATGATTTTTGCATATATTCTTAAAGAAAGAGGTACCAAAATGTCTTAAGCATCTGTATTAACTGTAAGATCCAATAATAAAGTGGGCTTCGATGGTAGCATTTTAGACCAGTTTTAGCAACTTAAATTACCTACATTTTATTGAAGTAGCAAGATAAAGACTAGGAGCTGTATTCTTTCTTTGCTTAAATTCATTGCAAATTCCCATTAGTTGTGATAAACTCGTTTTTACTGGCAGCATTCTAAATCCTAATGCAGAAGTCTTCTGTCTTAAAGTGAGTTATTAATCTTGTGTCACAGTTGTAATCCATTTGCTACAAGAATGTTGATTTTGGGGTAGGTGATTTAGACCGTAGTGTTGGGAGGTTCTGTATATTCTTCAGTAAAAGTTACACCTCAGTCAGCCATCAAATTAAGATATTTGTGGCAGTCTTACTTTCCCTCTTTTTGGTAATGAGTGGGGTTATAATTTTTTCTTGCATACTTGAATTATGGTCAATTTCCCTTGATGCTTAAATGTTGTACTAGTATTTTGAAATCTGTGAATAAATATAGTTTTGATGTATCACTGGAGTTGATACCAAGGGATAGTTAGTATCATTTTTGTGATATAGTTCAGTTTTGTTTGAATTCATTCCCTGTGCTGGTAAGATTTGGATCCAGGGGTGCCAGCATGTTATTTCATTTATTGGTCTTATATGCTACAATTTTCTTTTCTGTGTTAGTAATTGCTCTTTCTCTTTTTTATCTGCAGGATGCAGAAAATGCAATTGTGCATATGGGAGGTCAGTGGTTGGGTGGTCGTCAGATCAGAACTAACTGGGCCACACGTAAACCACCTGCACCTAAAAGTACACAAGAAAGTAAGATACGTCTACTGCATCTTGTTAAAATTATGGCTATGTCACAAAATCATGAAGTAGTGTCTTGATTTCTTGAAATTTAAATTTTATTAGCTTTGTAAGGCTCAGTTCATCTTGAATTTAATTGTCTGATAATAATTGGGCTTTGATAATTAATATAGTTGGGGCTGTGAACCAGCTGATTCTATAGATCAGATCATGGCATCAAGAAAAAACATTCTCTATTTTCTCCCTCAATGAGGTGTATCGTTGTACATAGTAATCAGTTTTATATGACTGTACAATCATCAACATTTTTGTTTTCTTTCTGTGTATAGATAACACTAAGCAGTTGAGATTTGAAGATGTAGTAAACCAGTCAAGTCCAAAAAATTGTACTGTGTACTGTGGAGGAATTGCCTCTGGGTTAACAGGTACAGTGTGTGGTCTTCTCCTGCCTTCTCCGAGGGGCTTTGTCCCTCTTGGTGTAAGTGCCATGAGCCTTAAGCATTTTATTCGTGTGTTTTTGTTTCTCAGATCAGCTTATGAGACAGACTTTCTCACCATTTGGACAAATTATGGAAATAAGAGTTTTTCCAGAGAAAGGCTATTCATTTGTCAGGTAAAATTCTGTCTACAGGTTGCTCTGCTATTTGGCCCGTTCTTTTCAGTTACATTATTTGATCCCCTCGGGTATCCGCCTTCATTGTTTTAGCAGTTCTTTGCAATGTAGAATTTTAGCCCACCTGCATAATGTACTTCAGGAAAACACCAAGTTGACAGTTATAAACTAATGAGTTTCTATTATTTATTGTGTAAGTTCTTTAAAAAAAAAAAAAGACAAAACCCTCATATCTTCCCCTTCTAGATTTTCAACCCACGAGAGTGCGGCCCATGCCATTGTTTCGGTGAATGGCACTACAATTGAAGGACATGTTGTTAAATGCTATTGGGGTAAAGAATCTCCTGATATGACTAAAAACTTCCAACAGGTAATTCGATTTTTCACAGCACTTTTTAAGGTTTCCATCTTACATATCTACATAAAAGCTTTAGAAACTCTGTAAAATAAACAGAAAATAAAGCATATAGCTGCTTTCAGTTTATTTTTATTAATGCTTTTTCGAAAGTGATTATTTTGCGGTATTAACTGAATCTTAATACTTTCTTTCCACAGGTGTCACCACCCCAATAAACTTAGACAATGATAAATAACAGAGTCCTATTCACATAAGGGTGCTTACTTAGTTTTTCTCTTCCTTGTCTCCCACTTTCTTCAAATACTGTGTTTCTTACTTATTCCCTAAAACGGTGATTTGTTTTTTCCTAGGTCGACTATAGTCAGTGGGGGCAGTGGAGCCAGGTTTATGGAAACCCACAACAGTATGGACAGTATATGGCAAACGGGTGGCAAGTACCACCTTACGGAGTATACGGGCAACCGTGGAACCAGCAAGGATTTGGAGTAGAGTAAGTTGTCTAGGTTTTTCCAGTGTGGAAACTGATACAGTTTTGACAAAAGAAATCAAAAGTGTGTTTTTCTATGGGGAAATTTATTTAAAGTAAATTCATCAGGCTATTCAACATGGTGTTATAGAAACCTTATGAAAAGTGATTTATAGTGCTAAAAATTTGCTTTTTATTACCTAGGTGAAAGGTGAGGTTGCGGTAACATTTGATGTTTTCTACTGTCTCTATAAGCTGTTGGTAGAATTTCATTTACATTTCTAATCTATTTTATCTCCTTTATTTTTGCATGGAAGAGGTCTTTGTCTAGATATGTTTAGAAATTTAATGATTTGTGTCTGTTGGCTTGTGGGAGAAGTCTACAAGATTTATGTGGTACAAAGTAGCTTGCGTTTTTTTCCTTTGTTCATAGAGTGGGTTGGTCCTTTGCATGTTTCTCCCCAGGCCAGCCCAGATCTTTATTTTTACTGGGTCCTTCTTCCTTCTCTTTCCAACATGATTTTGTGATTTTTAAATTTCTTATATTGATGTACCATGTGTATAATATATGATAGGTAGGTGATTTGTCATTTTTTAAAAATCAGTTTTGAGATGTTCTTCAGAGAAGTCATTGTGTTAAGTTGTGATTATGTTAACCAAAAATTTAAGACTACTGTTGGGATATGTATTGTACATGTGTGGATGCGTGTCATTTATTTCTTCGCTCTTTGTTGTGGGTGTGTTGATTTCTTGTTGTCTATTCTATGATGGGGCTCTGCTTGTTTTTGTATAAATGGGTGGATAATATTTTCTTCGTGTTTGCTCAAGATTTTTTTTTTTCCCCCAAGTCAATCACCTTCTGCTGCTTGGATGGGTGGATTTGGTGCTCAGCCTCCCCAAGGACAAGCTCCTCCCCCTGTAATACCTCCTCCTAACCAAGCTGGATATGGTATGGCAAGTTACCAAACACAGTGAGCTGGGACTCTAAACAAAATTGTAATTCATGATAGCTTCAGTTTCCTGTGACACTCTGAAGACATGAAAGTAGACATCGGAAAATGAAAATATTTATTTTAAAAATTGAAATGTTTGGAACCTTTAGCACAGCTTTGCTTTGGTGAAGGACACATGTCTTCTAGTTCTGCCTTTTTAAGTTTTTGTTCATGATGGATATGAACATGATTTTTCTTTGTGTACAAAAACTAAAATAAAGTCAATAAAGACAATTCTGACTACAAATTTTGATATAATAGGAGAAATGGGTAATACATTTTGATTCTTAGATACTATTCCATTTTTATCTTGCTGTTCAGTATTTTAACTCACTGTGTTTTTAAAAGAGCAAAAAAAGGGAGGATCGTGGAAAACTGGGAATCACATATAAGTTCATCCTGAACCTTGATACTCCCCTCCCTTCCCCTGAGGTGGACCACATTTGAAGTCAGCAGAAAAAAGTGTGATACTGAGAAGAAATTGCATGATTTTGGAGTCGCTTTGGAGGAAGTAACTTTATGCCTAAAGAAACTGAAGCCAGACTGATAAAGGAATTTTACAAACTAAATAAGGAACAGCATTATCTGAGTTACTTGAGCGAATGTTGGTGGTCCACATTAAGACATGTTTTTAAACCTTTAAAAAGTGTTGATTATTAAAACTGTAGTAAATTACATTTCATTTTGGGGGAAATTCCAAGTATGGTGTTTGTATTAAAGTCAGACAGTCATACTTGTGCTTTTACAGAAAGTTTAAATGATATACATTGTAAATATTGAATAACTACAGTGTTTAAAAAGCATGCTTCACCATAGAAGTAGCAGCAATGTAATTATTTGAAGTAACACTTAACACACTCCACTGCATTGAATGCCGTGGATTGATAAGAATGTTTAAGACTGACACTTCCAAGGTTGGCTACTATGTAAAATTAAAATTATACAAATTACTATACAGAAAAAGCCTTAATTTTAATTTCATACAAATCTTTGATGCATTAGTACATTTTAAAATGTCATTGGAAATCAGATTTCTTTTTTTTTTTTCTTTACATCACTTGGTATGTAAATACCTTGATTAAAACCTTGTAAACCTATTCCAGGGTTCCTATAAGTTGTATAGTACAAGTGTTTTTAAAAAAAAAAAAAATCTTGGGGTGTTTTTTAAAATTAGATATATTTTGCCCGAGAATTTTTTTAACAAGATTGCTAAAACATCTTATTTAGACAGTTTGATGTACCAATTTATAATTGGATATTCAGCTTAAGTAGTACACAGAGTTGTGACTTTTATTTTTATTTAACTTTTTTTCTTGTGGGTAGTGTGCATGGGATGACGAGCCTGATCAGAGGCTGAGTTGTACGTGTGCAGAGTTTGTAAATGAACCCATTGGGTAGATGTAGAAGACGGAAGTTTGCTTCAGAGGTATTTTTCTGGCTGTGTGGATAAAATCTGCCTCAAATTTCTATCCTAACAAGAATGTACAAGATAAAATCCTATGTATTCGAATTCTGACAGCTAGAGGGTGCAAATGTTTAGGGCAGTGTATTTGAAATGTTGCTTTGAAGCCTGGGCACCAAAATGAGAAAACCCTTACCAGAGTAAGATGCAATTAATACCCACAAAGCACTATTTTTTAAACGTCTAAGGTCTTACAATCAGCTTTAAAATAATGATGGGTTTATAAATTGGGGACTACGATAATTTTGGTATTATTCTTCCCCCATTTAGAAAAACAGATGTATTAAACATGAATATTTGCGGGGTCTGAAATTCATCTTCAGGCCAGATTTTTTTTTACGGCACTTTAGTTTTAACCACAGGAGTCCTCTGTGATCCTCTTCTGTATAAAAGTTACCCTTATTTCTTTGTTTATGGCTAGTGTCCTTGGGGGATGTTATGGTAAAGTTACTTTATATTTTATAAGGAGAACACTCAAATTAAATCAATTATGCCTCCTCGTTTAAAATTTCTTGAATATATGTGAAACTTGAACAACTAAAGACTTTTTTTTTTTTTTTTTTTTTTTTTAAATATATCAATATTCTCAGTTTGCCTTTTTTGGTCTGCCAGTAGATTAAGTAGCTGACTGTGGGAGCAGTGAACTATAGCTGCGGTGTTTTCCTGGTGGTTCTAGGTTTTCATAAAATGATCCAAGCTAGTTCTAGCGCCATAGAAAACCTATTTCTAAAGTGTCCTTCGTCTCAATATGAAACAAAGATTTCATGATCAGCTCAGTTAATGGAAGTTATTTCATATTAAATGGTTTTTAAAATACAAAGCTACTTATCCAAATGAAACGCACCATTTTAAAATTCAACTGTCAAGCTAACACAGACTCAAGTCTATTTTATAACAAAGTGAAGTCAGTGCTATCTTGATCAATTTAAGCCTAAGAATCGTTGCCTTTTCCATGTTCATTTAAAACAACAGCAGAGATTCTTTGGCATACGAGAAAATGTTTCTTATTAATATTTCAAGATTTATTTTGGTGATGTGTTTCTGACTGCCATCTTTGCTCTAATAATCTCTTTACTAGTATTTCCCCCATACCATTTCCACGTGATTTTTATGTCTGCTGGCAGTGAGAGGCTAAAATGACTGGCCAACGTAAGCCAAAGCTGTAAACCACAGTTGAAGTAAGTCTTTCAATAAAGACTAGACTGTCTGATAAGTGGTTTTTTCTTATTGTCGTTTATTACTTATTCCTTCCAGGCTGCCATGACATAAGCAATTTTGTCTTATTAGTAAGGTATGTGGAATAAACATTTATTCAGGATCTGTTGCTATGTTCTGTGTGTCAAAAGTCCATTAGCTTTGTTGAATTAAAAAAATTTTTTAATTAAAATTTAATTTCTGGATATGGAACAGCAGAAATTTGCATGCTTCTAAAAAAGTATGCTCTACTGAATATTAATATAGTAAAATTTCATTAATTTAGAGTTCCCAGATAATGGAAACCTGTTGTTTTACCACAGCTAGGTTGATCTTTGGTAGTATCTGTGAGTAAAGTTTGCACTCAACAAACAGAAAAAAATAGGAAAAGAATTTATCCTGAGACTTTTCTAGCTGGTATGCCCAAATTAAATCTTCCTATTTGTTAAAAATCAGCATTTGGACTTCAACTTAAAACATTTTGAACTTTGAAATTGCATTTTTAGTATGCATTGGAAAGCTGCAAAATGATTTAGACTTCAGTTTAGCCTTCTGTTAAGTGGTCCAAATGAGAAGGTTTTGTTAAATACAAATTCTGCTGTGTATAGTAATAAAGTGTCCTACTTATGTGTCCAAATAGGTTACTATGAATTAGATTGCCATCTATTCTATTTTGAAACAAGGAAATTATGTGAATAATTAGAACTTCAACAAATGTGTTAGTAAGTACAGGTTGATAGGAAAATGTAGGCTCCAGTTTATTTAAATGGATCTGCTATGACAATTAGTATGGAGGCTAGAAACTGATTCATAAGGTGAATTCACAAGGTGAATTATTACTTTGTGTAAATACCTCTTTGGGGGGCAAGAATGACTTTTGGTTTTTAAAACCTAAATGTGAAAGAAGTTCAGTTTATATCTAGGAAATAGGGGAGGGGTGGGGAATTATATATAGTTGGGGTTTTTTTTTGTAATCTTGGGCAAAAGAGTCAGGGCGCTACTGGTAATTGACTTTGTGATCTAGTTAGGATTTTGTTTGAGGGAAGAGAGAGCTTAATCCACATAGCGTTCATAGTTTGGTTTTTAAACAAGAATGTCAATGAAAGTCACAGTTTCTGACAAAAGGTATGTGTCAAATAAATGATTTCCTTAATATTCTAACTCAGTTTAATACAGATACTGAATTTTAACTTTTCCAGATTGTTTTCTTTGCAATTCACTAAGCATTGTTGCGCTGGAGTGTTCCACTGGGAAAGTGATCCCATTATTCTAATATTTTGAAGTCAGCTTGGAAAGTCTACCAGACGAATGTAGCTGGAGAGCTGTCTGCCGGCTGTTAGAAGAGGGGCAGGCAAGCAGCACGTTGGGAAGTAAGCTCTCCCAGTGGAGCTGTCCACTTGGTCTTGTAGCTGGACTCAGCTTGCCTGCAGATCTCCTGTTTTGACTCTGCTTCTTTCTGGTGAACCGATGGGCATTTGCAAAGAGCCTAATTCCCAGCTGATACTGGAAAATTGCATTTTTGAGGTAACCCAGATTTTGCTATAAACCATTTGAAATCATAACTTGCACAACTGTGATTTTTTTCCCCTCTGTTCCTTCTTCCTTGGGTTTTGGTATACCAATGAAGAGAAGTCCAAAACCATCTGGACAAAATGGGCATATGAAGTATGTAGCCATATGCAGCACTGCCTGTTCTGAGAGTTGATATGTTGTATATGTTTTAAATTTTCATAGTTCATTTTACTGGTTAAGAGTTGTGAGTTGAATTGTTTGGTATGTGGTTTATATGATTTTGCTCACAGAAGTAAAACTAATTCATAAATCTTAACCTAGCTAAACAAAATGGAGAATGCCCATTTAATGTTAGTTTGCTTCATTTTGGAGAAGACTAAACTTGTAAAAACGTTGGTTTCCTTTGACTAGGTTATATTTTAGCCTGTGGCCCTGCTCAGCCTTGGTTATCTGTTTAATGAGAATTTGGACTGGGAAAGGGGTGGTGACTAGGATAAAGAAGGGGGCAAAGGTCGTTGGCGTGGGAACAGACAGCCTCAGGCAGGTGTACCAAACCCTGGTGATCAGGGCTTCAGGGCTGATACTTCCTGTTTCTGTTTAAGACGACGTGCACCTATTACCAGGAAGACTAGGACACTTAGCAGGTCCTTGAGAATAAAATATTACCAACACCTTTGTCTTATTTACTGACCCTGATCGTTTTTTTTTTTTCAGTTTCCTTTAATATGTGTATCTATTAATGTATCTAGAAGGCTCTTAGAACGTTGGGCAGATGCTGTGGTTCCAAATACTGCCTTCGAGCATTTTCAGTAAAATGGGATTAAGATAGGATTCAAAATCCACATTTAGTTTATTATAACCAGGAATCTTTTATTTTTAAAAAATGGACAGCATTTCCAGATTGCTTTGCTACTTTTGTATCTTTGGTTCTGTCATCCTCCACTAGAATGTAAGCTCCGTGGGGGCAGGGATTTTCTTTTGGTGAC